TTTATGGAAACTTTTCAGACAATAAAGTTTATTTTTACCAGAAGAAAAACTGATAGAAACAAAGCACCAGTTTCTTGCAGTGACCGCTTATCGGTACTTATCGGCTCCTTTCCTTTTGCCAGAAAAAAGCAAACTGACTGCAAAAAGCCTGCCAATAAGAATAGAAAGGAGGAAAAGTGGAGGAGATAAAAGGTGTTTATTTTTACAAACAAAAGAATTTAATCATTTATTGGCAATTTTATACGGAGCCAAATTCTACCATTATCTCTTTTCAATGCAGTTGCAGGAAAAAAAAAACTGTGGTAGAATATAGTCACTACGAGTTTTTTCTTGTAGCTGTATTCGCTAAATTCCATTAATGGGTAGAATCTGAGAAAAATTTAATGTATTGAGTGACCAAAGCATTTGGTTTGACGTGGTTTGGTTTGATATGTGTAACAATGAGCAAATGGTGAGGGTCGTGTACAGTACCTGCCTGAATGCGCTTTCGTGACTTTAGCTTCGCCTGAAAATGGTAGAATTTTAAGGTTTTCAATATTTTTAGCAGTTATTCCTAATTTTAAAAACGATAATTACAGAAAAATTTGACAGTTACGTGAGTGACAACTTTTTAAGTAAATGTTCAAAAATCTTGAATTCTTTTCTGGGAAACGTGCAGCGTTTGTTTTTCAAAAAATAATGCTTTGTATTCTCTTTGGCTTACATAACTGTATTATCCTTTAGTGATTGAACTAGTTATGAAAAGTTATATTAGTGCCAAATTTATCAATGAGCTAAAAAAAAATTCTTAACGAGCAGCAAAGTTTGCGGTGAAATCCTGTCGTTGGCCGACAAGTTTAAATAGTTTTAAAAATTTTCTGCGCTAACTGCAATTGTCAAAAAATTGTTGTATTAGATGAGCTAAACAGAGATAAAACTATAGTGAACTAATTTTACATTGCACAATGTTAGACACTCACTTTTATCGGCCTAATGATACAGAAGGTGGCATCTGAAAAATACGGTAGCCGCGTCTAACTGCTCTACTTTTTAAATTAAAAAAAGTCAAAAAATTTCAGTCCTACTTTTTTTTTTTTTTTTTTGGACTTCTCTAAACTTTCTATTTAGTAATGCATGACCTTATGACACGTAAACCCGAAGCTATAGTACTTGACAAAGCAAAACTTTGCCACATAATGCGCTTCTTTTGAAAAACTTGAATGCTTGTGATTCGGATAATGCTTGTTCCGCATTTACTTAAATTTACTTGCTGATTCTCTTTTAAATTCACTTAATCATTTTAACTTACATTTTTTTAAAGTTGACTCTACAAAGTATTAAAAATTATGAAACTTTCTTAAGCCCCTCCATCAAAAAAAAAAA